GCAATGGTGAAACGGCAATTATACCATCAGATAGCGCAAGAAATTCTCTACAGGATGTGCTACTGAGAAGCAAGGCAGAATGAGTTTTTAATCAGCAGTGAATGTACAAAAAATAGGTGCACAAAACGCTGAGAACTTTCCGGACAACCTAATAGCATTTTAGGCTAAGTCGGAAACCATCGTGCCAACTGCCTTTAATGATCTATGTTCAAGAACAGGGTTCGAAGAAGAGTTGGGCGTAAAAACTAAAATTTATGCGGAAAGGCAGGAAAACTATTGCTGTGCTGACAAACTTTGGGCGCGCTGCCGCATGCGAGTCTGCGAAATGCGCTTAACGCTACAAAACAGGGTAATCAGTGAATACACTGAAGTACAACACCAGCCAGCTAGGGATACCAAATAAGAATACTTGAATTAGATGCTTGGGACAGGAAACCGGGGTCATCCTTCGAATGAATCTAGATCCGATACTGACACCAGGAGTCAATGTTCTGAGAAAGCAGGAGCTTGTTCCGGATTGCTAGCTCAAACTATTCTTCCAACACTTTGAAGAAGTTACAGGGCGGCGGGTGTATGTGGTAGGACAACTTGCAACAGGGCGGTAGTATCTAGTGCACAAAACTAATAATCGAGTCGTTGGAGAGCTGCAGAGGCAGCAAGCAGTGACCACGCAGTGACCACCACCGAAATGTAGAACAACGCCAGGGAGAGGAACTTCTAATCTCTTTTTGGAAAAACACGCGGCAGGTTTCGTGAGCAGATTTGAGATGTACTCTGTAGGTGGGCGTGTAAGTTTCTGCGTAGAGTTTCTAAAGCGTGCAGTTTTTTAACCTGTGCTCGTAATACTATTCATGAGCGTTCTCACTCTGCGAAACTGTGTGTTTCGTATTAGTGTCACACACCCTTTGGGGACGACTTCACATCGTAATCTGAAACCATGACCTCACTCAGAAAACTAGGCACTCATTGCTCTCTTGCCTTTCACCGATTAGTCTTGGTTGGTAATTTTAGTATAGTTACTAGACAACGATACAGATGGTGCCGTCACGTGAAAAAGATACCGCTCTCCAAGGGAAAAAAAAGGCGGAAAGTTCATTTTGGTCCTAGGAGTAGTCGATGAGAAGCCGGCTCCAAGAATCAAGAGACTCTTCCACATCCGTTATACTTCATAGAAATCAGCGAAGTTTCACAACTTCGCAGGAAATTTGTTCCAATAGGTGGCTCTGTTTCCTGGACATCTAATCGGCACTATTCCACAGTCAATATTCCAAAACTTCCAATTTTTCTGCTGAAACTTGAAACACCCACAGAAGTTACTTATTAGTGTCCTTATCACGAATATGATATTTTTTTTCTGGCGATAGCTCAAATGGGGGTCACGCTTTTGGGCTTGACATGCGGATAAGAAAAAAACGCTGGAAAATTTTCATATCGTTATCAGTCATTTCGCAAAGTTCGTAAACAAAGTTGAAGTCAGCGTCTCAATGCAAGTGCAGTGAGTATATCTCATGCACTAGCCTGCTGACATTCCCTGCTTAAACAAAAATGCTCGGAAACTAATAAATACAACCCTGAGTATACGGTAGCCACACAAGGGTAGTGGTGTATTTGTGTCCAGCCTGGTGAGGAACACAGATGTTTTGCTCACCTCAAAACGGACACACATGAACCGGCCTAGATGCTGGTTTGTAGGTCAAGGGTGCTCGTGAAACCGCAGGCGCAGTCGGCAAGCAGGGTAGCTACTATGAGAAAACTATCAAACGTGGGACGAATCAGTAGTGCGCCAGTGCGCAAATAGGATGGGTGCGAACGTGCCTGATTTAGTAAAAAAACCAGGGGCCCAGCTAACATTGGTTAAATGTATCCGATATAATGTTATTGACTAAGGTGTAGGAATAAATCTTACTTGAATCATCCGGAATCTGACACTTGTACCATTCGCAACATGGACGTAAGCGATGGAGCAGCAGAGTATTTGAAGTGAAAACCCATCGTTATGATTTCTTGATTTGATTTCTATAGTCATCACTTTCTGCTACCAACCATCAGTTTTCCCATCCCTCACAATGCTTCACTTTTTGTAACCATTGCTGGACGAGTGCTGTGGCCTTAGTGACTTCCCTTTTTGAGCGCACCTTATCAGTGGCACTTTCTGTCTTCCACCTTCCCACACTTTATATTAGGTATTAAGTTCTGTCATACTTTTTTGAACCCAAGTATTCGCCTATTACCTGAAGAGGGCTAACCGGTAATGTGAGCATTTATACATTAAGGATTGATCTTTCTATTAGTGTCACTGGCTCGGCTCCTGCTCATCCTTATTCTGCATTATGGACAAGAATGTTATCCGCTACCTTCAGCACCGACCCCTTCAAGCGCTTCCTTAAACTATTTCTTCTACCACCCTGGCGCCAGCATGGCAGCTGTCGACGCCGAAATAATGGAGCTGCACAAGGACAATGTCTACAGTCATCAGACAATCTTCCACGACGCTAGCTCTTCAGAGCGGGAGCCTACGGTTCGAATGAGTGAGGTTCGGGAGTACCTGTAAACTCAGCTCTAGATAGCGGTGGGTCGGGAAACTACTGGATGAAGAAGCTGCCTCCTCGGTCAATCCGTACGCAAGGCAGCTACGAGATCTGAAGCGAATCGTCAAGCAGAGGGCAAAATCCATCGGCACAGTCCGTCTTCAACGTGCTGGTGCAGCACACCCCGTCAAAAAAAGTTCGAGCCGTACTTCATGCAATAGAGCTGGATGGCTCTCCCCGGTGTAGTCCAGACATTGCTCTTTCTGACTGCTAGTCGCCTCCCGTATTCAACCGTTATACAGCCGAGAAAACCTCCACGACTTGAGCCCAAGTCAAAGTTGAGATGATGTCCAACTTTGCGTCGCGCCGGCGTGCATTGTTAAGCGATGGCATCCACGAACTGTCCAAAAACTGGCAAGGATCTCTCAATAACATTGCTGTATAATTTTGATCTTGTACGCCTCTCTGTAAAAAAAAGTCTAATTTGAAAAAATGTGACAGAACTTTCCCGCCAACCTAATATTACTGCTCGGAACAACCTTACCCCATTGCAGTACAATAGCGGATATCAAGTGGTCCCTATTACGACAATCGCGGTCCAAGATCAAACCTAAGACGGCGCTAGCCCGAGTCAAGGGTACACCCCATCCATCTAGAGTAATGACCTGGTACTGTCCTCATCATTACGGACTGTCGGGGCGTGTCAGCCAGTAGGAGTGCGCACACTGTTGAAGCCGTTCTCAGCCTTTTTGTTGAAACGCGTATGCGACAAAAAGTGGTAGAAAACGAGTAATACGAAGGATATAATACAGTAATGTCACTTGCCCGCTTCAACAATTGGTGCAGAACGACTTCGGTACCGCGCCAAACGCAGCCGCACTGACACGCCCCGGAAGTCCGTGGGCTGAAAACGCTGACGTAAATCATCCTGGCCGCACAATTCATTTTGCGGCCACATCGCATTCGCATGCCATAACTGACTAGAATGAAGGAGCAATGAGTGCTTCATCCGAAGAATTTTTGACATAATATCTCTGTGGTCACAACCCGCAACCGCAGAGCGTGTACCGCTGCTGCAGCTCGAAAGTGCCCAACAAGAACCCCAAAGGTTTGTTTGATTATGATCCCGTCCTGTGCTCTTCCACGCTTTTTTTTCCGATTAGATGCAGCATTGATTTCCATTTCTTGAAAACATGAGCCAAGATAATTTGATGTTCAGGCTGAAATGGGAGGAGAGGTGTTGTATAGGGGAAAATGGCGAAAAAGCGAAGTAAAACGGGTAAAAATTTGCAAAAGGCTTTTGTTCACTTAGAGTGCAATTTCCCGTTGGCATCGTGCCAATAACCGCTCCGGTGGATACGGCTGCATGTACTCATGTATCCATGCAATACCGCGCCCCTGTACATCAAATCCCTTCGCTTCATAATGTACTTCGCAAATGAAGCGATATGAACATCAGCATCGCCCGGACATTTGTGGGCGGGTGGGCGCGGTGGGCGTCCGGGTCGGTGTGTTGCAGCTTGATAGGGCGCTAAAGGAATACCTTTCCCGTGAAGGGAGACGCGCAGCGCCCACTCAGAGGTGCATAACTTTGTCCTGCAAGTCATATTAATCCTACGCGTCTTCGGATTTACCGTGCTACTTGCCTTCAATTGTTCCATCAAGATATTTCAATAGAAAAACTATTCCAACCTTTCTAATCGAATGGTCAGGAACGTTCCTCAGGAGAGTTTGTAGTGTTTTGAATAGCACTGTTACT